TTACCAAGGCATTGTAAAGTGGTATTAATACTTCACGTGATCTTGATTCTATCCCTCTGTTAATGCAGCCTAGCACTGTGTTGGCTTTTTTGGCAGCTGCAGCACACTGCTGGCTCATATTTAGATGATTGTCCACTAGGACTCCGAGATCCCTCCCACAGTTACTACTATTGAGCAAGGTACTCCCTATACTGTACCTGTACATTTGGTTTTTCTTGCCTAAATGTAGAACCTTACTTTTTTCAACATTGAATTTCATTTTGTTAGATAGCACCCAGTATTCAAGTCTGTCCAGATCCTCCTGTATCCTAAGCCTGTCTTATGGAGTGTTGGCTATTCCTGCCAGCTTGGTGTCATCTGCAAATTTGATGAGTTCCCCATCTATCCCCTTGTCCAGATCGTTGATGAAGATGTTGAAGAGCACTGGGCCTAGAACAGAGCCCTGGGGCACCCCACTACACACTTCCCTCCATGTAGATGCGGTTCCATTGAGGACCACACGCTGAGTACGGCCGGTCAGCCAGCTATGGATCCATCTGGTGGTGATGCTGTCTAACCTGCATTTTTCTATCTTCTCAAGTAGTAGGTTGTGGTCTACTTTGTCAAATGCCTTACTGAAGTCCAAGTAAAGTATATCCACAACATTCCTCTGGTCCACTAATTTTGTCACTTGGTCAAAGAATGCAATAAGATTTGTCTGGCATGATCTGTTTTTGACAAACCCATGTTGGCGTTTAGCAATCACTTTGTTTGCCTGTAGGTGTTCGCTGATTCGTTGTTTGATTATCTTTTCCAGAATCTTCCCAGGTATTGAGGTCAGGCTGATAGTCTGTAATTTCCTGGGTTCTTTTTTTCCCCTTTTTTGAAGATGGGAACTATATCAGCTCTTTTCCAGTCCTCTGGTAGTTCCCCAGTGCTCCAGGATCTTTGAAAAATATAGTTCAGTGGTTCTGAGATCACATCTGCCAGTTCCTTAAGAACCTTGGGGTATAAGCCATCTGGTCCTGGTGATTTGAACTCGTCTAGGCTGGACAGGTGTTCACTTACCATTTTCTTGCCTATCTTAACTTGTATTTCTATTTTGTTTTTTATGGCACTATTTTTGATAGGTTGGTCTGTTTTTTCCCTTTGTGTAAAGACAGATGCGAAAAACAAGTTAAATAGTTCTGCTTTCTCCCTGTTGCTTGTCACCTTCTTGCCACTTTCACCTACTAATGGACCAATCGTTTCCTTCACTTTTTTCTTGTTTTTTTTTCATGTTGAAAGAAGCTTTTTTTGTTATTTTTGACTTTGGTTGCAAGCCTTAGTTCAATCAAAACTCTTTAGTCTCTCTCATTACCAGATTAAGTTATTATTCCATCATAAAATAACAATGCTCTAAGATTTAAGAGGTACAAAAATAAATAGAAATAATGCCATGGTTTTAGACACACACTGGTAAATGCAGTTACACACACACACACATACACACACACATATCAGTATTTCATTAGTAGTAATTCTGATGTTGAACTTTTAAATGGGGGCAGAGATTTAGAGTTTATAAAGCTATTAAGACGTGAATCTCAGATTAGTTGTCTTTTGTAAATTCAATACAAAGTTAGCCATGACTTCTTTAGGTCCAATTTATTTGGACGGTATCTAACTAATTTAGTCAAAAAATGATTTGCAAGAGAAAACAAATGTAAGAATAATGGGCATGTGAACTGGGAATAAAAAAGCGGAACAGAGAAATGGTCGCTGAGAGCACAATGTCTGATGACATTGTATTTTATTGTTTTCCCACTATGTGATATGTTATTTGTTTCTAGATATAACAATATACATATACATATGTAACAATATTAGATGTCCTTTGCTTACAATTCTGTTGAGTTGTTTGTCCCGAACTGCAGAAGCTTTTCACAAAACTCATCCATACAGGCCAATCCCAGATGTTAGCAATACTGAGTTTTTAAATAATTTCCTATGGGACATTTTGTAAGCATCTGCCCTCCTACTCCATTTACAGAGCTTTTACATGACCAAGATTACATTGTACAACTTGGTTTGCTTAGGAGGATACGTGGGCCATTACTGAAAAACATGCAGTGGCAATGGCCAGAAAGCAGCTTAACCCAATTCTATAAGAAAATCAGTCTTATTCGAACATTCTAAGTCAGGGGTCTCCAAACTTGGCCCTTTTATGACTTGTGGACTTCAACTCCCAGAATTCCTCAGCCAGGCATGCTGGCTGAGGAATTCTGGGAGTTGAAGTCCACAAGTCATAAAAGGGCCAAGTTTGAAGACCCCTGTTCTAAGTCATACTTTATAAATAAACAATAATTATCTGGGACTACAGAATGTGCTCAGACATAAAACATAGTTCACAAGCCACAACGGCTAGGTCCACATTGTGCACTAAATAAAAACAAAGCATGTTTCAAACATGGTGTATGTTGTACCACCAAATCAAATTATGGACAATGTTCCCAAAACTGCTTTCCTTCCTTGTTTAAACTTTGTAATGAGTCCCACAAATTTTCCGAGCACCGCTTTATATAATCATTCAAGCTTCATTGAGATATAGCATCGGTTAATATATATCTCAGCTATGGTTTATTTTAATCATGTCTTACTAATATGGAATGGCTGGTTTAGATATTTAAGATATTAGTTAATTAGATAGTTAGATATTAGTTAATTAGATAATTAACTAATTCAACATGCTTAGTCAAAGCCAATGAAATGGCATTCTGGCTTAGCATGGTAAGTGAACTCAACCAGTAATCCTGTTTCACAATTACATTGAATTAATGTTATTTATGGAGTGTTAATAAAAAGGTTCAATGGGAATTATATTACTTGTCTGAGCCTAGTGCCCTCTAGAGGTTTCTACACTATAACACCCATCATTCCCTTCTCCATGTTGTCTAGAGATGAAGGCAGTTTACCTCACTTATCCTACTAAATTCCATGAGACTTGCTTCCAACTACACAAATATAGAATTGCATTGTCATGCTGTCTTTACACCTACTATCCTATGCTTATTTGTTTAGGAGAACATTCTAAGCAGATCTATGAATTCACATCATAACGATGAACAGAAATATGTCAGTTTGAATGGAACTGAATCAATACCCACAACTTTCTGTAAAATACACACATTCTTTTCAGTTACCAATGCAAAAGAATATACTACATACCCTACTAATGGAGAAAAAAAAACTGTAGATCTAAACAATCCTTAAGGTTACAATCTTATATTCAGAAACAAAGTTCACTGAAACAAACAGGACCTATTTCTATTAAATAAACCTGGACATAGGTTTTAAACTATAAAATTTGTTACCCTGAGGACTAAAACATATAACTGCATAATAATACAAAATGTCTTCTTCTTTTATCCAGAATTCTCTAGTCTCTCCAGATATGGCATTTTTTAAAGAAAAACTTTTCAGTGATATTTCTAACTACCCTAAATTGATCTTTTAAACATCACATCTTGTATAATTCTTCAAAACGTAAATTACAAGACTTTAAGGCTGGAATTCACTGTACAGCCTATCTCCTGTGCATTAAACCTGAATATAAATAGCAGCAATTAAAAAGCTATCACGTCTCACCACCTCTCATCAAGTACAGTATTCGTTAAAGTCCACAATAATGTTCACTCCAATGATAATAAGAAAATGAGAATCAGGCTACTTACCCCTTAGATGTGAATGAATAACAGAGCTGAAAACATTCACTGCTTGTTTGGACCAAAGTGAGAGAAATGAAAGGCACAAGTAACATCCTGCAGCTAAATAAGGACAGCCCTTCCTATCTCTTGTATGTTAGGGATGCTTCACTGCTTAAAGAAGAAGAAAAAAAGCAGTATGTGTGAATACTGCCTTCCAGAATGCAACAACCAGCTGGCAATTTAATGAGTTAGTGTGCTGACTGAATAAATACATTGCCCACCCCCCAACCTAATAGCTTTTAATTTAAATTCTCTCTCTGTTTCTCACACACACAAATGCCCACTCACCCAAAACACATCTGTATATGCACACTTTTAAAACAATCTTAAGTGTGCTTTTTGTCGCGCTCAAGACTAGCCCCCCTGCTGCCGCTGTCCAAGGTCCTGCAGAAATCTCCCCAGCTTTAGGGCACATTCAAAGCAATCATGCTGCCTCATTAAGCAGCAGTTCTCTGACAAACCTAGCTCTCGGGCTTGCAATTCCATTCACAAGCCTGCTGCATCACAACTATTCTCCCTATTGCTGGAGGCCTATTCTGATGCAGCTCATATCGGAGTTCTGGATCCCTCTCTTCCTGTCAATGCTGCAGTAAACTGAAACAATAGGAGCCTCTTAGGGAATCAGTACTTTCCCCTGTACAGCCTGCTTGAACAGAGTTCAGCATATTTCCTAAACCGCTGTACCTGCACAAATCATCTACCGCAACCATCACCAAAGGAGCTTTGTCTAGAATCTGCAGAGCAGTCACTGTAGAATTTTGTCTGCAGTATCATTCATATATGTATGTGTGTGTGTGTGTGTGATTATTAGTGAAGATCTTCCTCCAGGGCTTTTTAAAAACAAAACACAGAAGCCCAGATAAACAGGTCTCTTGTGAAAGGAGGATAGCTTCTACTTCCATATATATAAATCCCAAGCAATGCAAAAAGTCACAGTGAATAGCCCTTTTCATGAATATTTCTCCACACTCACAGTATACCAGGAAGGAAATGGAATTATTTAATTGCTTAATCCATCTAATCAACAGAAATTATCCCGTAGGCAGAGAAGATGTTTGCTAAGCAAATATCTGATATATTATTGATTCATTTGCAGACTGTTTCAAAGCTAAAACCTAGTAAAAATATGCTATCCATGCAAAGAAAGCTGAACGTATTTTTCTCTCCTAATAATTCCCCCATCTACCCCCCCCCCGCTCTCTTCATCATACCGCATGACTGTAGGGAGGGGGAATCTCTCCGCAAAGTATTAAAACATGCAATTAAAATTATTACCTACGTAGATGTAGCAAAAGGTCATAATCCAACTTCCATGCTCCCATGAAGCATTAGGCTGTTCAGGTCAATAGAGACTCTTTCTCTCTCCTATACTTGACCTAGACTGCCTTACATAATGAGGAGTCAGAACTGAATCTGGAATGTCATCCCTGGCAGGAAGAGCAAAACACTGGCAAGCAGATGGGCTGGTTTGTAAGAAGATACCCAAGTCTCTTCTTTTCTTCTTGGACTGCTCTGGGGAAAGCAAGCTTAGCGCTGAAAGGCTGATGTCCTCCTTCCCCTAGAAGGAATAGCCAGACTAGAGAGGAGCGTTAGAGAAGCGTGACAGTCAGCAAAAGCTAACCTAACACAATTCCTGCTATCATGCTACAGGACTGCATAGCAGCAGCTAGTGTGAGCTACAGCAAGGCAAAATAAAGAAAGAGGCATGCTTTGCCTGGGTGTCTCGTGCTGGTGAGCAGAAGGCAGAGGAAGAGGAACTGAAGGTCAGATTCTCTAAAATGAATTTTCTAAAGGGATGTTTAAGTCAGCAAATGACTCATTGAACATAGGTAAATGTGTTGCTGCTGAGAGAAAATCCTTTGGGTCAGCTTCTGTGGTTCAAAGACTGGGTCACATTTTCAGCTTAAAGGTATTTGATACATCTGGAGGTCAGTGTAGATTAAATGTGCAGACTGGATTCGCTAGAATTTCTTTTCATTTTGGTTAGCTAGAATTTTAGTTCATTATTTTCTAGAGATTATAATCTCAGAATTCCTTGGAGGGTTATTTGGCTGAGAAATGTACCAAATGCAAGTAAAAGCGAACAGTAATGCTTGATTTGGATGTTTTGAATTGAGATGTATGCAGAATTCTGTTACTGGGTAATCTTAAAGACTTTTATGAATTACTGTATAATTGTTCAATTTCTTTCTCCTCCCTCAAAGTACTTTTTTAATTTTTTAGAAAATGACGGGGAAGAAAAAATAACTCTTGAAGTGAATATATTTTGAAATTCTTAATTGAATTATTGTATAAGTTCATTATGACTTTACAGTGTATTAAATGATGTTGATAGTATTATCAAATTATAAGACAAGTAATCAGTCATCTACAATTCAGATGAATTATCCTGGACAATTCAAAATAGATCTTCCCCTCTTCTTCTTGTTATAGGTATAGGTAAGTTTCTTTTTAAGGAGGAGGATCAATCAATTAACCATAAAGGTAATTAACACCACCACGAGTGTCAGTAATGAATGGAATTTTCTATCATGAATTTAATGCATTCAGACCATTTATTCTATTAACTATCAAAAAAATCTGGAAAATAGGAATCTCATAATAGGTGTGAAGAAAAAACTTTTTTTGTTTTGACTTTGTTTTGGACTTGATCCCTTTGATAGTTTGATCTTATGTGATAGTACTTTGTACATAAAAATTAACAGAAAGAGTAATGTATATCCATTCACACTCTCTCCAAAAAAGATTATTTTTAATCCATCCATCCATCCTTCTCTTAAACCCTTTCTCTTGCAGTTCTTTGAGATTTACCCATGCTTTGCAGAAGTAAGATTATTCATTTTGATTTGGAGAAATCAGAAATATAGGATATTCTAGTTTTGCTTGCACCATGTAAATATTATATGACTCTACCTGATTTGGCAGCGGGAGGTGGTGTAGTGTCCTTCCTTTCCTATTGCTAATGTTTCTTTCAAATGCTAATTTCCCCCTTTGCCTGTTGCAGCAAACCACAGAGATGATCTCAACTAAAACTGTATTCCTATTATGGTCCTAAGGTCTGTATGATTATGTCAATTAGGTCTCACCTGCATATTCCTTTTCTTCACAATCATTATCTACTAAGATGCCTCTATTCTTTCAAATCTCTGATTAAGGATTGTGTTTTCCTGGAAAACTTTGGCAAAGTTATTTTGTCCTGTTGCAAGGAAGCTTCAGTTGCTGTAACTGTATTGAATGTGTGTAGATTTCTCTGTCTGGCTCCAGATATTCTGTCGCTCTCTTTGACACAATTGCTTAGAAGCATTTCTGAAGAGTCAGTAAACACAGGACTAGGACAAGAGGTGAAAATGGAACTATATCAGTGGAAAAATCCCACACAAATCCATCTGTGTATATATTCACACAGCCTATACAGGTAGTCCTTGACTTACAACAGTTCATTTAGTGACTGTTCAAAGTTACAACAGCACTGAAAAAGGTGACTAATGACCATTTTTCACACTTAAGGCCGTTGCAGCATCACCATGGTTATACGATCAAAATTTGGATGCTTGGCAACTGGTTCATATTTATGACCCGGGGTCATGGGATCACCTTTTGTGACCTTCTGACAAGCAAAGTCAATGGGGAAGCCAGATTCACTTAACAACCATGTTACTAATTTAACAACTGCAGTGATTCACTTAATAAATGTTGTAAGAAAGGTCACAAAATGGGACAAAATTCACTTAGCAAGTGCCTCACTTAGCAACAGACATTTTGAGCTCAATTGTGGTTGTGTATCAAGAGCTACCTCTTCTCGACTTATGGCCACAGCTGAGCCTCTCTTGATAAAACAGAAGTTCTCCTCTACATATTGCTTTTGATAGGCAAACACTCATGGTAATTTCTGTTGTTATTTCAGGAGAAGGACCAGAGAGAGCACAAAGCAGGACAAATAGAAACTGCTGACCATCTTTTAGCCCTCCCACTTTCCACAGGTAAATCTCCAAGTGTAGGAACAGGAGGATGGCTAAGTAGATGAGCAGGGGACTTGGCTGAGGCTTTGTGAAATGGAGAACACTGTATTCAGGTAGTCCTCGATTTACAACCATTCATTTAGTGACCATTCAGTTACAACGGCACTGAAAAAAGTGACATGATTGTTTTTCACATGTCCGTTGCAGCATCCCTCATGGTCACGTGATCAAAATTCAGAATGCTTGGCAACTGACTCATATTTATGACGGTTGCAGTGTCCCAGGATCATGTGATCGCCTTTTGTGACCTTCGGACAAGCAAAGTCAATGGGGAAGGCAGATTCACCGCCGTATTAACTTAACAACTGCAATGATTCACTTAACAACTGTGGCAAGAAAGGTCTTAAAATGGGGCAAAACTCACTTAAGAACTCTCTCACTTAGCAATAGAACTTTTGGACTCAATTGTGGTTACAAGTCGAAGACTACCTGTAATACCAGTTGATCTCAATTAGGAAGGGAACATAAGTGTGAGAAATTAATCTCATTTCAAATGCTGCCAAGAATCTTAGAGATTTTTGCAAATTTGGTGAAAAACTTCGGGAAACTTTTATAGGCATATAGAGCTGAACATGCTTATGAAGCACCCACATTTCGAAACCCCCGTTTTGAACACTGTAAACACATTTAATTAAATACTCCATGATTTCTTTTAGGAATTTGCTACTAAATAAATGAAGAACTTTAAAGTATGTCAGAATCTTGGAGACAAGATTTCTTTACCCATGGCTGCTCCTTCTAATGTACTGTAATTCCACATCTGCTGAAGACAAACGTCTGCTCTGAAGGTTGTATGACTGAATCCTCAATCGCTTTCAACAAGTGATTTGCCAGTGACTGCCTAATCATTTGCTTTTGGTGCAGTAGCTACTACTCGTTACCTATTCTTAATCTGTGATTTGCTTTTCCTCCAGACAACCAAGCAACTATGAATATTAGAGTGTGGGGGGGTATGTTTTTCTCCCCTAGGCTGTGCAGATCACAATGGGGGTTTAGAGCAGAAAGAGAGGGAGAAAAAAAAAGCAACAGAGTTGGAGAAAGGCCAGCTTCTTTGTTTGTAAGACAGTCTATTCCTGTTCTAGTAGGACTTGTGTTTCAGACGCCAAGAGAGGTAATGCAAAACTTGCTGCAGAAATTAGTATGGGGATGAAACTACGAGGTGTATTTTTTTCTCTTCTATTTATTTAACTTACTTACATGCACCCAATAGTATTTTATGCTGTTCTGTCTTTATTGTCAATCAGGTTTCATAGCTGCAACGTTCTCATGGAACAACAACAGCAAAAATGATGACCCTGGGTTATTCCATTTCTCAAATATACTTTACAGAACATTCTTTACATTGTGCCATGTTCTAAAACAATAAGTATCCATTCATGCTCGCAAACAAATGGACTATCGAAAGAATAGCATACATATAATGAAATGGAGTTCAGTTCAGATCACCAATACATGTATCTTAGCTAAGAATCGGCATCTCATTTAATATTATTAATAAAATAGAGAGGGGAAGCTCCAGTGGGAAAGTTACCCTACAATTACTCCAGGTATGGAAAAACATACAGTACAGCTACATGTCAATGTATGCATGGGTAATAGGATTCTCTGCTGAATAAGAGGATCATCCTGAATAAGATTTTGATTTTATGAGCAGGACGGATTGTTTAAGTTAAGTTTTTAAAAAGGAATTCCTTCTTCCCTTTGCATGCACCAAGTCCAGTTACTGCTACCCGAAATAAAAAGGAGCCCAGACTGCAAATGATGAGAAATATACCTGTCCACCAAAGTAGATAGTGTTAATCTAGATGGGCCAATCAATAGCAGTTTTGTATATTCTGACAAACAGATGCATTATACAGCACATGCTTTGTATGCTAAAGACTTTGGGGTCTCCAGGCAAATCACCTCTTCAGAAAACTACTTTCAGACAAAATAGACAGGATCATAAATATCCAGGTTCTTCTTGGAATCTTTGTCCTTGATACATTGCTTCTATGCCAGTCTATTTGAGGGATGGTTAGTCACGATGGCAATAGTGACCTACGTGCCCCTGAATTGAACCCTTCTTGAGTAAGGATGCTTCTGTCCTAGTCCATGTGGGAAAAGATGGTCAGAATATTACTGGTTTATTAAAAACAGATTTACTGACTTGTGTTCCAGAGAACAAAGTGTTATTTGATCAAAAGGGATGAGGATGATGTCACACAGTACTGCTATCTTTTTCAAATCATACTTGCTTGCTACATCAATTTATAAGAAGAGAACAAAGCTTTGGCGGCAGTCCTCAAACCACTGAACTGTCCCTTTAGTTTCTGTATTTCCAAGTCTGAGCAAATGAGTTAAGTTAAAAGGTTGATAAATGTATATGCACAACCCTGGAAATCAATTACAAAAATGAAAACTAATACAAACTACATTCAGAGAGAGAAAGAAAGTAAAAAAGAGCAAATAAAGAAAAGGAAAGAAAAGGAAAAAGAAAAGATATGTATAAAGAAGTGTCTTCCAATCTTCATCACAAGTATAAACAAGTTTGGTAACTTTTCACCTTTTATAAAGTTACAAACAGGTATCTCTTCTTCCCATAATCCATTCCTTATAAGTAAATCCATAAGACATCAATTTTAAATTATCAAATCTGGTGTCAACAAAAAATCCATAAAAGTTGCCAGAATTTCATATAAACATGTCTTATTTTAACCTTGATCAAATAAACCAACTTTATACCTCTTCATTTTATCTCTTAAGAATTTTAA